GGTGCCGTTCCTCCCGAATGAGCCGCCATCACACGCCAAAATGTTGGGCACCGATGTTTTGATTATCCCAGAACGACCCTACCTAGGAGTTGGAGCCCCGAGGAGATCAATATTAATAGTAACGGTAAACGCAGTCCTCCTCCTTCTCCTCATCGTCGCAGTTGTAGCAGTAGCGGTAGTAGTAATAGTAGTAGTAGTAGTAGCAGCAGCAGCAGTAGTAGTAGTAGTTGTTGTTGTTGTAGTAGTAGTCGTAGTCGTAGTCGTAGTAGTAGTAGTAGTAGTAGTAGTAGTAGTAGTAGTAGTAGTAGTAGTAGTAGTAGTAGTAGTAGTAGTAGTAGTAGTAGTAGTAGTAGTAGTAGTAGTAGTAGTAGTAGTAGTAGTAGTAGTAGTAGTAGTAGTAGTAGTAGTAGTAGTAGTAGTAGTAGTAGTAGTAGTAGTAGTAGTAGTAGTAGTAGTAGTAGTAGTAGTAGTGGTAGTAGTGGTAGTCGTGGAAGTAGTGGTAGTAGTAGTAGTAGTAGTAGTACTACTAGTAGTAGTAGTAGTAGTAGTAGTAGTAGTAGTAGTAGTAGTAGTAGTACAGCTTAATACCTACATCTGCATCTAGACCTGCATCCACATCTACACCTGCAGCTACATCTACATGTACACATGCAGCTACATCTACATCTACATCTGCAACTGCACTCACATCTACATCTACATCTGCACCTACATCTACACCTACAGGTACACATACATGTACATCTACATCCACATCTACACCTGCACCTACATCTACATCTACATCTACACCTACATCCACATCCACATATACACCTACACTTACCTGCTATGCTGCGCTATGCTATGCTATGCTATGATATGCTGTGCTGCGCTATGCTATGCTATGCTATGCTATGCTATGCCATGCTATGCTATGCTGCGCTATGCTATGCTATGCTGCGCTATGCTATGCTATGCTGCGCTATACTATACTATGCTATGCTATGCTGCGCTATGCTATGCTATGCTATGCTATGCTGCACTGTGCTATGATAAGCTAAACGATGTTATGCTATGATATGCTGTGCTATGCTATGATATGCTATGCTATGCTATGCTGTGCTGCGCTATGAAATGCTGCGCTATGATATACTATGCTATGACATGCTATGCTATGCTATGCTATGCTAATGCTAATGCTAATGCTGCGCTGCGCTGCGTTAAGCTGAGCTAAGCCAAGCTAAGCTAAGCTAAGCTAGGCTAGGCTAAGCTCGGCCAAGCAAAGCTAAGCTAAGCTAGGCTGGGCTATGCTAGGCTAAGCTAAGCTGGGTTAAGCTAAGCTAAGCTAAGTTAAGCTAGGCTAAGCTAAGATGAGATGAACAAAACTAAGGACGTAACTGGGGGAACCGCGGGGCGGATGCCGGGGGAACCGCCCCGGGCGCGTTCCACTGCCCGGCCCCTTTAAGAAAGAGGGTAAGAACCCTCTAGGCAGAGCCTAGGTAGGGAAAAAAGGCTAGACTGTATCCAACGCAAACTTGCCGCCGAGAGAAAGAGAGAGAGAGAGAGAGAGAGTGCGGGACGGGGTTGGGCATGAGCATGGGCGAGCCCGAACCGCGCGCACCAGCGCCCACATTCGTCTTGAGCGTGGTATGTTCGGAGGGCACTCCCCAGTCCGTTTGCGAACTGGAATGAAGGGTCGCATTTGTTCTGCGCGGTTCCCTGTGAGGGGCGTGCTGTCTGCTTGTTGGCCTGGCCCTTATGCGGCCTAGTCCTGCGTGTTGCCCCTCCCCCTGAGGAGAATCGGCTGGCTGCCGATGGTCCTGGGGCCGCCGAAAATGACCCGTCGTCCCATCAACTAGCCACGTAATTTCGTGAGGCTCATGTAACATTGATTCTCAATGGCTTGCTTTTTTTCCAAACTGCGCGTGCTTCACTGTGGGCAGCATCAGGAGGTTCCGTGAGCTCTGTCAGCAGCCACCCGTAAAGGGCTCGAGGCATTGAATCGTCTCGGGCGCGGCCTCCCACCAAAATCGAGAATGAATGTTCCGAGGTGCTTGTGGTGAGGTGGCCAGGATAGCACCTGGGAGCCACGTCTCCGCCATGGCGCCATAGCTCCTGATCCCCGTCCTCCTCCACCTCCTCCTCCCATCCTAATCATATTCCTACCCCTCCTCCTCTACCTACTCCCCCCCTCCTTCCCCTCCTCCTCCTGGTCCTCCTCCTCCTCCTCCTCCTCCTCCTCCTCGTCCTCCTCCTCCTCCTCCTCCTCCTCCATCTCCTCTTCCTTCTCCTCTCCTCCTCCTCCTCCTCCTCCTCCTCCTCCTCCTCCTCCTCCTCCTCCTCCTCCTCCTCCTCCTCCTCCTCCTCCTCGGGCAAGAAGGAAGCGGCCTCGAGCTCCTCCGTCCTGTTGTGCTCCCGCGCCAGCTCGGATGCCGCGCTCTCGTACGCCTTCCTGAGGTCTGCGGCCTTGCCGGGTGGGGAGGGGGGGCCGCCCGCAGTCTCCAGCTCCCACGGGCCACTCCTGGACGAGACGCAGGGGGACGAGGAGGGAGAGGAGGACCCAAACATCCTCGAGCTGGAAACCCAAAATTATGAAACGAATTCTGACCATTTTCGACCACCAGGAGCCCTCACTGGGCCCCGGGACCGTCAACAACCGACTCGCGATGAAGAGCTGGCCCCGGGGAAAGGCTCGGGACTTCCAGGGAGCCCGTGCTGGACAAATCAAGATATCGCACGTCTGGGAAGGGGGCGAGGATGGGGAGGAGAGGGAGGAGGAACGAGCAGCAAAGGGCAGCGCGGTTCCGCGCCCATCCGACGCGAGGGGCGCGGTGTCGCACCCGAGGAGGAGGAGGAGGAGGAGGAGGAGGAGGAGGAGGAGGAGGAGGAGGAGGAGGAGGAAGGGGAGGAGGAGGAGGAGGAGGAGGAGGAGGAGGAGGAGGAGGAGAAGGAGGGGGAGGAGGAGGGCGACCTCCCACGTCGTCGGACCACTTCTGCCGACGAGCCGCACCGCCGTACAGGGAGGCGGCCGGGCACGGTGGGCCGGCACGCGAAGCGGCCCTCACGACAAGGGGAGTGCTTTGGGCATTGTCCGCTTGCAGGGGGGGGGGCCCTCGGCGCCCTGGCTGGACTCGCTTCGGAGCCCCCGTCTGGCTGCACTCTCCAGGACAGGTCCAGGGGGGCCGACCTCGAGGGAGGCTGAGGCAGAAGTGGGCACGTGAGGGCAAGGAGAGGAGTCCCCTCCACGTCCTCGTGTTCCCTCCTCCTCCTCCTCCTCCTCCTCCTCCTCCTCCTCCTCCTCCTCCTCTTCCTCCATCTCTGACTACTGCACCGTCTCCTTCTCCCTCCGCCCTCTTCATCCTGCTCCTCCTTCGCCGCCCTCCTCCTCCTTCCAGCCCTTATCACCCCTCCTTGTCCCTCCTTTCCGTTCTGCTGCCGAACAACAGAAGCAACTTGTGATAATATGCCATGGACTCCGTGCGTGTGATCCTGATTGGATTGCCGAGTTTTGGGGCCGGGCAGCACGACGGCATGCCAGCCCCGACAGCGATTGGGCTGCGTGTGAAAATGAAGCCTCGGACTGCTCACTCTCAGTAGTCTGCGCTGCTTTCAACGTCTTCGGGTCTGAGGCGCCACTAATCATTTCCATCACGCTCCTCTCATCCTGCCCGTCGGATGCTCCTGCTCCCCCTTCTCCTTATCGTCCTTATCCTCCTCCTCCTCGAAATACTGCTGAGACCTGCTCTTCCTCCTTTCTCCTCGTGCTCCTGTGATGGACATCCTGCTCGTGTCTCTGCCGCTGCTGCTGCTGCTGCTGCTGCTGCTCTTCCGTGCTCTCCCTTCCACGTCCGCCATCCCTCGTCCTCGTCCTCCTCCACAATTTCACAACATCAACACTCCCCGTCCAGAATATCCCTGGCCCCCCTCCGCGTAGTACTTCCTACACGCAATATTGGGCCGATTTTTTTTGTTCAGGTGTGTTATAATAATCAGAATGTTCAGGTGTGTTATAATAATCAGAATGTTTCCGGTGTTTCAAAATGGTAACCCCGCTGCAGCGGGGGCCTCATGTTCGGATCGGAGCTTGGCTCCCGTCGTTCAGAATGGCGCCCTCGGCCCAGCGCTGACCAATTTTCCGGATCCGAGTCCTTTTTCACCGTTATTGCCTCCCGAATGTATCCACCTCCGCCTTCCTCTGGTTTTACATGCTCCTCCCACTCCTTCCACTGCTGCGAATCGTCCTCGTCCTCCTCCTTGCTCATCCAAATATTTTTCCTCCTGCTCGCCCTCCTGCTCACCAGCCTCATCCTCCTCCTGCTGATTCTCCTCCTCCTCCTCCTCCTCGTCCTCCTCCTCCTCCTGCTCCTCCTCTGTGCGCAGCTCCCCCGTGTCCGATTGCGCAAACTATGATGGGCTCTGTTTTGGAGTTCCAAGTAGGAAATGACACGCATCCGCGGATAGCGAGCACACCAGCGCAATAGGAAGGGATGAGATGGAGGGATCGAATGTAAAATATGGCGTGGAAGCGCCTTGCTTGACAATTACTCAATATTAATACTACTCTCCCTCTTCCCCTGATGACGGCTTGGGAGTAGCCGACCCCCCCCCCGCGTACTGTTTTTTTACAGACAAGTTTCCCCGGAGTTGGGTTGTCGCCTGCATTTTTCCAAAATGCTGATCTCGCTGAGGCGCCGGCCTCATTTTCGGGCCTCGCTCGTTCAGAATCGTGCTCCCGCTGCAGCGCTGGCATCATTTCCGCCGGCGCCTGCACGCCCGAGCCGGCGCCCGGGCCGGCGCTCGGGCCGGGTCTGGAGCCGGTTCCGGCCGGCGCCAGAAAATCGAGTTCCGAGGCGGCGCCGAAAAAAGGACATTCCAATACACATTTTTCTTTTGAAAATGCTGAATTTCTGCTTCCGGCGCCCGGGAAGCCTCCCGGACCGATTCCGGCGTGCTTCCACTCGTTCCGAATCGTGCTCCCGCTGCAGCGCGGGCCTCATTTCCGCGCTTCCGCTCGTTTCGACTCGTGCTCCCGCTACAGCGCTGGCGTCATTTCCCGTGCCATGCCACGGCATGCAATGCAATACTAGGTTGATACTACGCTTCGCGGTGCTCTTCTACGCCATGCCATGCCGTGCTCTACAATGCATCGCGTACCCTTTCGGGATCATTGCCCTGCTCGACATCCGACTGTGCGAGTAGTGAGGGGATCTGCGCCATGGTAAGGGATGGGAGGGAGGGGTAGGATGCCAGATATGACGCGAGCGCACCTAGCTTGTCCTCCCCCCCTCTTCCCGCCCCTCCCGCCACCGCCTCCGCCTCCTCCTCCTTTTCTTCCTCCTCCTCCTCCTCCTCCGAATGCCCCTCCTCCTATTGCCCATCCTCCTATTGCCCATCCTCCTCCTCCTCCTCCTCCTCCTCCTCCTCCTCTCCTCTCCTCTCCTCTCCTCTCCTTTCCAGCTCTCTTCCCTTCCTCCTCCCCTCTTCTTCTCCTCTCCTCCTCTTCTCCTCTCCTCCTCTTCTCCTCTCCTCTTCCTCTCCTCTCCTCTCCTCTCCTCTCCTCTCCTCTCCTCTCCTCTCTCAACTCCCGTCTGCTCCTCTCCTCTGTCCACTCCTCTGTTCTCTCCTCCCCTTCGTCCTCTCCTCTCCTCTCCTCTCCTCTCCTCTCCTCTCCTCTCCTCTCAACTCCCCTCTGCTCCTCTCCGCTCCTCTCCTCTCTCCTCTCTTCTCCACTGCTCCTGCCTCCTCCTGCTGCTCCTCCTCCAACTCCTCCCTCCTCCTCCGTCCTCCTCCCTCCTCCTTCCGACCTCCTCCCTCCTCCCGTCTCCCTCCTCCGGCCTTCGTCCTCCCTCATCAGTCCTCCCTCCTCCGTTCCGTCCTCAATCCTCCGCCTTCCTTCGCGCGTCGTCGGTCTGCCGTCCTGCATCCTCCGTCCTCCCTCCTCCGTCCTCCGCCCTCCGTCCTCTGTCCTCCCACCTCCCTCCTCTGTCCTCCCTCCTTCCTACCCCCTCCTTCCTCCTCTCCCCCCCCTCCTCCCTCATTCCTCTCCCCTCCTCCCTCCTCCCTCCTCCCTCCTCCCTCCTCTGTCAAGGGTCGTCCGTCGTCCGTCGTCCGTGGTCGGTCGTCCGTCCTCTGTTCTCCGTCTTCCGTCCTCCCTCCTCCGTCATCCCTCCTCCGTCCTCCCTCCTCCCTCCCCCTATCCTTGCATCCACCTCCCTCCCTCCTCCCTTCTCTTTCTCCCTCCTCCATCCTCCGTCCTTCCTCATCCCTCCTCCCTTCTCCCTCCTCCCTCCTCCGTCCTTCCTCCTCCCTCCTCCTTTCCGTCCTCCGTCCTCTGTCGTCTGTCGTCCGTCGTCCGTCGTCGGTCGTCCGTCCTCCGTCCTCCGTCCCCCGTCCTCCCTCCTCCGTCCTCCGTCCTCTGTCTTCCGTTCCTCCGTCCTCCCCTCCCTCCTCCCTCCTTCCTCCCCCCCTCCCCCCTCCTCCCTCCTCCCTCGTCCCTCCTCCCTCCTCTTGCGTCCCTCCTCCCTTCCGTCCTCCGTCCTCTGTCGTCCGTCGTACGCCGTCAGTCGTCCGACCTCCGTCCTCCGTCCCCCGTCCCCCGTCCTCCCTCCTCCGTCCTCCGTCTTCCTTCCTTCCTCTTTCCTCCCACCTCCTCCCCCCTCCCTCTCCCCTCCCCCCTCCCGCTCAACCCCTTTCTCTCCTTCTTTCCCTCCGCCGTCCTCTGTCGTCCGTCGTCCGTCGTCGGTCGTCGGTCGTCGGTCGTCAGTCCTCCGTCCACCCTCCTCCGTCCTCCGTCCTCCCTCCTCCGTGCTCCGTCCTCCCTCCTCCCTCCCCCTCCTTGCTCCTCCCCCTCCTCCCTCCCTCCCTCCCCCCCACTTTCCATCCTCCCCCCTCCCTTCCTCCTTCCCCCTTACTCCTCCCTCTTCTAAGACGAAGCCGGGATCGGGGCAAAGTTTGACCGGGATAAAAATCATGCTCGGTTTTTCAAATCACCGGGGGCGCCGCCGAACGGGCCTGCCACGCCTTGGGCGCCATCGGCTTCGCGAGGGAAGGAATGCGCCCCGGCGCAGATAGGGCCACGGCGCGTATTTGGCCACGCGCGCGCCCGAGGGAATTCAGCGCCAAGCGCCTTTCACTCCAGAAGACCCGACGTCAGCAAAACAAACTTGAGGCCCCAAGGGGGCCCCAAAGAGGCGGACCGCCAAAACAATCACGCAACCAACGCAACGAAAAACACGTGTAAATGTCAAAAAGCGCAGTCCTCAGTGACCTCTTCGGCCACGCAACACCGCGAGAATGCCCGAGAAGGCATTGGAAAAAGAGCCCGCGCGCGGCCTGGCGACTTCCCCGCGCCGCCCCCAGGTTCCCGAAGCGCGCCGAAATAACCGTAAAGAAAACACCGGAAAGTCTTTGGAAGGCCCCCGCACCATGCAATCAATATCCGCCACCGAATAATCTCGCGGACACCTAGCGCACGCGCGGGCGTCCACCATGGATGCCCAACTCCGGTTTCGGAGACAATCGCGCGCAACCGCCCGGGGGCTTCGGCAACCTCGCGATTGGCCCAGGGGCCCGCGGGCCCCAGGGAATCGAGGACCGAGTTCGCGACTCCGGAAGCATCGGGCGCGGCGCCAGCCAGTCGCTCGTCTCTGGCTGACAGTGGGACGCCTGGAGATCCGGTAAAACCTGAGGAACCGCTTTTCAGAGATTCACAGAACCAGAAAACGGGGCGCGCCAAATTCTCGCGTCCGAACTTCTCTGAGAATCTCTGAAAATCTCTGAACTAGACACCCCGCGTGAAACATTCTCTCTGAGAGTTTTTTCGGCCCGCGAAATTTGGCGCGCCCGGATTTCCCGTTCCGAGATTCTGTGAAATCGGCCTGCGGCGGCGCCCAGCAGGTCCTCACGCGCCGAGGGTGGGGGCCGTGGACATCGCAGGCCGCGATGGTCCCGACCACGAGGTCCTTCCTCCTGCCCCTCGACGAGTCCACGCTCATGGACACGCTCTCTGCGCTGAGCGTGGACCGCGCCATCCGCCGGTACTTCTGCGCGACGACAGCCAACTGGCCGCCGACAGACGAGGCGATTCTTTTCCGAGCTGCGCGTGCCACCGAAAACGTGCAATAGCCCCGGGCTCGGGGAGAAACACTTTCGAAGCATTTTCAAGCCGCCAGCGTCGTGGCCGCCGACCCGCCGCGCGCCGACCGCGAGACTAGCTGGACCCACTACGTCCACGGCGGCGGGCGGGCGCCCAAGAGAGCTGTCGCGACGGTGCGCGCGGCGGGGCGCCCGCCCCACTGCAACCGCACATGCGGCCTCCATGGCGCCACAGGCGTACTATGTGCGACGCACTCTCGGGGCCCCCATCAACGCATCGGCCAGCGCCCAAGCCCCTGAAACGCAAACCTACTGCGCCCCCCGTGTAAGCCGCGCGCCCGCTCCCAATGCTCGTGCACACCAGCTTTTCTGCCCGCCCTCAACAGTTTAATGGAGCGCCCATGCGTTACTTGGGCTCCTCAAGCCCCCGAAAAATCCTTGGGGGACTTCTGCGAATGCGCGCGCTGCGCTCCACAATTCGGCGTTCTATTTTTCTTTGGAACTCTCCCAGAATCTCTGGTTCCGATTTGTCCCGATCTTCCGCTCAGCTGATCTTCCCTCCTCCTTTCCGTCCTCCGTTGCCGGTCATCGGTCGTCCGTCCTCCGTCCTCCCTCCTCCGTCCTCCGTCCTCCGTCCTCCCTCCTCCGTCCTCCGTCTTCCGTCCTCCGTCCTCCCTCCTCCCTCATCCGTCCTCCCTCCTCCCTCCTTCCTCCTCCCTCCTCCCTCCTCCCTCCTCCGTCCTCCCTCCCCCCTCCTCCGTCCCCCGTCCTCCCTCACCCCCCCTTTCCGTCCTCCGTCCTCTGTCGTCCGTCGTTCGTCGTCGGTCGCCCGTCCTCCGTCCTCCGTCCTCCTTCCTTCCCTCCCCCGCGTTCGTGCCCTTCAGGCTCGTGTGCTCCTGTTGCTGCCGCTGCTGCGGGCAACACCGAAGAGCAAAGACGCTCAAAGAGCGGGCCACGCCACGGCAGCGGCACGACCTATCGGGCGGCGAGGGGGAGGGGCTTCCAGAAGGAGCGGGGCGGAGGCCTTCGGTAGCGCGAACAAGGGACCGGCATCCTATGAAGGCAGGGGGGCTCCTTAGAAGGCACGGGCCCTCTTGGAAGCGCGCCTGGAGGCTTCTGGCGGGGCTTTTCGAAAGCCGCCAGGCATTTCCAGAACGGCCCGTGCCTTCACGGAGCCCCCCCTGCCTTCGTAGAAGGCCAGCGGCACCCACTTGTGCACGCCGCCGACGGCCTGCTGACGGACAGACCCCCCAAAAAGCGCACATGCACGACTATCCTCAACAACCCCCCCCCCAATACAGGAAGGGACAACTTCACAAACACACGCCTTCTGAGCGCGGACCCCTTCCACTGCCTGGCGCGTGGACCGCGCCATGGGCGGCGCCGGCAGCGCCGCCAGGGCGGTCCAGCGCCGATCCCAAAAATCTGCGCAGAACTCATACACCCACTGCTCGCGCAGCTGACCCAACGTCGGCCCAACATATGAAAGCAACCGCATCAGCAAAGCCAGCAGAGGTTTCGGACCGCGCAGTGCATATGACCAGGTGAAAAGTCCGGATGTTGACACAAATGTGGAATGCGTTATTCTCTGACCCAGACCATCCCTGGGGGAACCCCGGGCCCGCCAGGGACGCCGGGTTCAGCTTCGACGGATGCCAGCAAGTGCCTTCTCAGAAGGCGGCAGGGCTTGTCAGCAGCCATTTAGCCTTCAGAGGACCCCCTGCATCCTCGGAGGAAGCTTAGGCAGTTTCTCGCATGGCGGCAGGGGGCCTGTGCCTTCTGAAGAAGCCTGCCCCCTCTGCCTCCCCCTGGGAGCGTCGCCGTCTCTGCTCTGGGGCCCCCAATTTTGTCCCCGGTCGTAATGGTCCATGGAGGCCACCACGACTGGGGACAAAACCCGTGGGTGAATGATGAAATTCATTTCGTGCCTTGGCGCTGCGGCGCCAGGACAGCGGCTCGCCCGCAACGCATGTTGCAGACGATCGGCGCTGCACGTGGGCGGCGCGGCAGTGCCTCGGGCCGCCCTCGTGATCCAACAGCTGCGGGGCGGCGCCGCCGAGTACCCCTCCAATTTTATGGCGCGCCGTTGCAAGGGGCTGGGTCCCAGAGAGACAGCGGTTCGAACTGAAAGGCGAGGGGGGGGGGGGGGGGCAAAACACGGCATAATGAGGGGGGGTAGGAGGAGAGGGGGGGAGGAGGGAGGAAGGAGGAGAGGAGAGAGGAGGAGAAGGAGGACGAGGAGGAAACGGAGGAAAAAGAGGAGGAGGAGGAGGAGGAGGACGAGGAGGAGGAGGAGGAGGAGAAAGGGGAGGGAGAAAAAGGAGGAGGAGGAGGAGGATATTTGTTTTACCGCAGGCGCACACAGCCGTTTGATCTTTGTCCGTAGTCCACGAGCGTGAGACTCAGCGCACCAGGCACAGCTGGCTTCCATGCAGACGCAAAGGAACAGGCGCATCAGCAGGAGCAGCAGCAGGGAGAGGAAGGAAGAGAAAGGAACTGGCTGACGAACGACAGCACTAACAAAAGTTTCACCCTCCGCGCGAGGACCGTGGCACCTCGTGCGCGGAGGCAGCGAGAGACCGCGATCGCGGGCGGGGGGTGGTGCGCTCGACGCAGGGGGGGGGGGGGGGGGGGGGCAGAGCCCATGCCCCGCACGAGATGACGTTCTCGTTCGCCACACCGCCTGCGTCTGGGACGGGAGACCCTCGGGAGAGCCCGACTGGGCCAAGGACCCAAGCAAAAAAACTGTCCCCCGCCAGAGAGCGGGTGCGGCGTCGGGGCCGGGGGAGCGGCCGCGCTCTCTCGCGTTCGCCGCCGCTCGCTCCCTCACCTTCCCACGCCGGAATCAAAACGACCCGCCCGGCCCAACGCCGCCGCGCGGCAGGCAGCGGCAGAGGCGCCGCGGAGCAACAGCAGACGGACGCGCAGGATGGGGCGCACAGCAACTGCACCAGCGACGAACAGCAAGAGCAGCAGGGGAACAACATAAGGGACACAGGAGCGAAGGCAAAAGCGAGTTCCCCAAGGCAGCCCTGCCCCGCGGGCGAGGGAGGCAGCAGCAGGGACAGGGGCGGAACAGGTCTTAATGAAAAAGGGGTCCTAGATCCATGAAGCCTTGAGATAACAATTCACCGGGTCAGTGCACCCAGGGAAAAAAAAACCCACACACGCCAGACACAGCGACGCTCAGAGGGGGAACTGCGCGAGGGCCACGCGACCCCAAGGGCCTGTGAACAAGGGCACTGATGCAATTAAGGGCCCGCGGAAGCGGCGAGGGGCAAGACGCAGGGGCACCGCGGGACAGCCAAAACGAATCGCTGGAATATGGGTCGCCGCCGAAAGCCAGAGGGGGCGACCTACGCTGTGATAGTGCCTGGGAATCGGTGGGCAAACGGAGCGGCCGCCGCTGCCCCCGCTATCCCAGGAGCCCGCGCAGGCCGTGGCATCTGGCGCATCGCCTCCATCGACAGGGCGCCCGAGATCCCGCGCAACTAGCCGAATGCGTGGAAAGTGCAAAACGTAACCAGGGACCCTCGCAGCGGGAAACAGATCACCTGGGACCCAATGGTCAGGAGCGGCCACGGTAAACAACGGCTACATTCTCATAGCGCCCGGCAAGAAGCCACCGCCGCGCACGCAATGCCTTAAAGGAGGCGGCGGCCATGCGCCATCACAAACTCGTCGAGCACAGCGCCGGCATCGACGTCGCGACCCAGCCCCCGCGCATGTCCCAGGAGAGATGAGGTGGAGGATCACGACTCGTCATCGCGCAGGTGCGCGCTCCGCCGCCCAGGCAGGTTCTGAACGCCCGGGGCCCATGGGGCGGCTAAAGACTTGAACGCTGGTCAGCACTTGTAGCGGCGCGCGTCGCTAGGGCACCCATGGCGGACACAGCGAGCTCTGTCCTCGTGACGAAACCTGGCCGAAGCGTGCACCCCCCCAGGAAGAATCCCGAGAACGCCAGTGGGGAGGCGGGCGCACGCGGCCATTTCAAGAGCCCTGAGCCGCGAACCTGCGGGCGGATCAACGGAGCCATCGGGGCCCGAAGCCCGCGGATATTCGCGCCCCCCCCCGCCCCCCGCGCCCGCTGAACGCGGGGGGGAGGGAGCGGATGCGGCGCCCAGACTCGCGCATCTAATCGTGAAGTTCTTCCACCAAAGGGAGCGGCGCCGAAAGAAACGGAACTCGTGATCATGCGTCCCAGTAGTGCGCTGCTCTAGGTCGTGCAACTCCAGATCGATCGCCTCGCATTTGATTAACACCCGATACTGAATCGCCTTTGACATCGCATGCAGGCCCACCAACTCGAGCGACATCACGCGCCCTCGAAGCTGAGCAGCATGCGACGGTTCAGCGCGCGCCTTGGGCCAGCCGTTCGGATCTGCACCGCCCCCCGATATTGCCTCGCAACCATCGGGGTGGCCCAGGCGAAATGCAGCCGATGCTGGAGTGCCGATGAACAATTTGAATGGCACTGCCGAGTCGTCGTCGGGGGGCGCTGGGAAAGGGACCGAAGCTGCCGCGCCCTCTGCCAGAACTGAATCAAGACTTCCCGCCGCGCCACTGCGTGAGCCGCAGGCTCAGACGGAGCCCGAGATATAATGCGGGGGCCCCGGATGTCGCAGAGTGGGCCCAGCTCCCCCTCTTCCTCGCGTGATCCGAGAATCGCTCGCACGGCTGCGCCCCGCGTACAAGCGCGCGGCATTTGCCAATGCGCAGCGAGTGACCGATAGCAGACGATAAGGGCCCAGCCAGAGCAGTGCAGGCACCGCATCGACCAGGACACTCCGCAGAACGACGCAGCAATCATCAGCGCGCGCACGCCCCAGATCAAGCCGAGGTGCGCGTTGGTGCATGATCCATCTGGGAACTGAGTCTAACGCCAAAGAGCATGATGTCTTCGATAACGGACCCCCCTGCCTTGCCCAACGCATGACAGGGAATCGGATGTCCGCTGCCCCGGCGAAACTGGCCACTGCAATGCGTATTGAACAGGGGCTGTAGAATCCAACGACGGCCTGCGGCGCGCCCATGGCCCCGGGGGCCCGGGACATTCATGCCCAGGCATCCGAAGGGGCAAACACGCCGAACATCCGCGAATAATACGCCAGCTTCGTCGAAGCCCCGCACGCACCGCAAAAGCCCCACCTTTTCACTTCAACCACATTACGTATTAAGGATGGCGCCGCCCCTGCTGCCCCCGCGCCGCTGCTCCATGGCCGCATTCGGGGCCGCCTCGTTCAGCCCGATGCAAAACGCGCCCGAGAAACCCCGGGCGCCCGCGACGGAGAACGAAAAGGGGCGGGTACAATCAGGGGGCCTCGAGACATAAGAACCCAGATTGGCAAGGCCCCCCCCCCTGTCAGCGTGAAAACCATTCCACTGACCCTGCAACCCCCAAGAAGAGAAACACCTTCGCTCTCATAAGTCGCCTCTTAAACAAACAAAACATCCGCAGCTTCAGGAACCGCCCGACGACCCAGCGGTATGCCATCGGGGCCTGGGGCAGAGTGCTGCTTGAGTCGTGCGCGAGCTTCGAACTCGCCCTGGTCCTGGCGCTCAATTTATTCGCGCGGTAGCCGGCCAATCGATTGAACGTGGGAAAAGATCGCAGGCCAGCGCCGTTCATCGCCGCGGGGGGAGTGGGCGGGCGCTTCTTCCCAATGGGTGGCCAGCGCACAGGCCGCGTCTACAGCGTTCGGGCAGGGGGGTGGCGGGCGGGGGCCGTTCTCGACCAGCGCCTCCCCTCAGCCCGCTGCGACGTTTCGTCAGTGACCAACCTCTCCCCCATGCCATCGAGCGCTTCTTCTGCGCTCCCTTGACCCCCGTCGGTCTCTCAGTCCTGCATTACTCGTCAAACCATCGGTTCTTCAGAAGATCAACCGTAGGGTCCAATCCGCCCGGGCCAGCGCAGATACCGCGGCCAACATCAAATAACGAGATGAGAGCATCGTAGCAGCGCAATGCACGCATGACAAGGTGCCACTGCTGCCCCCATCCACCCTCAGGGCGCCATGAAAGCGAAGCGGCGGCGCTCCGCATCATTCGATGCCTGTCGGCCCTCGGGGGGCTGCTGAAATTCAGTCGCAATCGCATCGGGGGAAAAGCTCTCGCTGTTCGAACGCGCTCCGCTAATTCCACTGGGAATGTGAAACCACTCAGTCATTCCGACGCCATCCTCCAATGCGCTGCACGATGGCTCATCCACGTCGGGGCTGAGATGCCCCCCCCCCCCCCCCCCCCCAAAGCTTGGGGCAGGCGATGGTCGCGGCAACAGGGGCGCGGTCAGATGGCGCCCCATTGTAGGTCAGAGCCCCTGTCGCACGAGAAGCAACAATAAACTCGTTGACGACTCCAAAAGGGGGAGTGGTACAGGCCCTAGCTAGCCGAGAGAAACCTCGAAGCCCGCCGCCGACTATGCCCCTGCGAGCGGGGTCTGGCTGATATATTTCACACCGGGAGATGCAGTGACCATGGAAGGCGCCGCGCGGCAACCGATCCCCAGGGCAGAACTCCCCCCCGCCAGAACTCCCCCATCCTCCACCGGAACGATATTCCAATCACCTGTTACTGGCACCATGCTGTGAGCTGCAGAAGGTGCCTTATCGAGGAGTTTCTTCGGATGCTGCTTAGATATGCTGATGTGATCACATGCGATGACATGTGAACATGCGCAATCGCGACGCCCCCCAGCAGGCCCCACGCAACGCTGGATGAGGACCCCCTTGCACCACCTAGGTAATACCACTGGAAACAAAGCAGCGAAAGCATCCCAGACAAAGGTGGCCGCCCCGCCGGCTGCCGAATCCCCATCAAAGGGCCTCGCAACATACCCGTGCGCATCTCGTCAACTGACATGGCCAAGTCGGCCCTGGAGCCATGGGTTTCCGAGGAACATGCAATCCGATGCCGTTCGAGCAACCGCTCTGCCCGCTGAAAACTTGAACTCACTTTTAGAACAGGGGGCGCGATGGGCGCGAAGAGAGCGCGAGTGCCCCGCGCGCAGAGCGCGACCGGGGCAGACGGAAGATGCACTCCACCAGCAGCCCCTGCCAGAGGGCAAGCGAATTGTTACGCTTTGCGATTTGCATCGCAAGGAACGCTGCCCCCAAGAGACGGGGGCCCAGTTGAGCTCGCAGACGCTGAAGCCGCAGATCTACTCTCGTCGAGCCCCGTTCTTCCAGACAGCTGTCGCGCCCGCTTAAGGGGGCGGATCTCCGAGACTCGGACCTGCAAGCATTGCGCGCGCGCTTCGCACTCGGTCTCGCCCAAGCAAACTCTGCCCACCGCCGTGTTCATGACGCCAACTGTTGGGCCGTTATCAACCATGAAAACATTCGCCACTGGAACAGGGATCGCACCCTTCGTCCAATGAGTCCCCCCCCAATCCCCGTAGATAAAGCGCGCTCCTGACCGAAGATCTGTGCCAAAGCCTGCCTCATGTTCCCGAGATATTGAAACAACTTGCGAGACCTCTGTGGGAGGTCACAAAGGACGCGAAACCAAAGGCCCCTTTGCACCCCCAGGATCAGGAGAAGCAAACGGGCCTACAGACAGACACTACGCGAGGAACGTGGAGGCCATCAGGGTGTTCGGGAAACCGACGAACACCTTCTTACTGCAGTTGAAAGCCTCGTTCTGGACACCAGGGATGTCACTCGCAAAGGCACATTTGCTCACGATCAGATTGACCGCCTGGCGAAGAATAGCCTCGAGAAGTGGGCGTCGGAATCCCAGGGCCACAAAACGCGTCGGGTTGCCAACGTCGCCCAACTCGACGCGGCGACGAAACTGACGAGCGAATTGGTCACCATCATCAGGGGTTACTATGCCGCCAATTGGGGCAGTCCCCAACGCTGCTAGCCCCTCCTTAACAATACCAATGACCCCCTATCACCTGTCAGCAATCTCACAGCCCAGAATGCCATGAAGAAGAGCTTGCTTGTGGATATAAGGAATATGTGCGACATTAGCCACGGTCGTCCTCGCAAAATCTGGAAATTCTTCTCCGCCTGCAGCATCTGGCCCTGGATCCCCGGAGTCTGGCCGTTGATTCCAATGAGTCCCCGATCAACTTGCTGCGACAGGGAAAAAGAGAAGTATAACCCACACTGCAAGAGAAAGACTGGATCAGGTCGTTCTGGGCGGCACTCGTGCTCGTGCCAGCCGCACGAATACCTGGGGAAAGCGGGCTGACGAACCGGCCGCTGCCACCCCCGTTCACCCCAGGAGGACTGGGAGCAGGACCCGAGCAGGCCACGGCATGGCCCGGCGCATCGCCTTCATGGCGAGAGGGGCAGGGGGAGGCGCAGGAGGGCGTCGCGGAGGAGCGGCAGCCGAGGGCCACGAGGCGCGACCGCGGCCCGCATTTGGTGCACGGCCACCAGGCGCCACGAGAAATGCTGGGCAGTTCAGGAGAAGGCCCCTTGAGCCAAAATGGCAAAGGAGAAAGAGGAGGAGGCCTTTCCTTACAAACCGTAGCTCATCGTTACACGCTGCCGCCATACGCCGGAGTCAGGGCACCGCAACATAGGCCCTGTGCACCGTAGGCCCTCGGCAAGAGCCGCACCTGCTCGTCAGGAGCGTCGGGGAGGGCAGGAGCATTGCGTTTGCAGCTTGGGGAGTTCTGGGCACCCTTGCCAGTGTGCGGTGCGCTGTGTCCCAGCGGGCTTCTCTGCCAGTCCGATGTTATGCGCCATGATGTTTTCCATCGTGCGCGCACTGGTTCCATAACTTTGAGGCTGTTCGAGCGCTGCGTTCCGATCTCTTTGTCTAAAGGTCGCGGCCATCAAGACGCAATGGCTCACGCAAGCCAGCGTTTGCCCAACGCAAAAAAGAAGATGATGGGTGTGGGGAGGGAAGGATAACCACCACTGACAATGAGGACGAATACGAATAGGATAAAAGCAGGTGGTGGACAATAATTGGACGCGAGATGAGAGAGGGGAGGAAGAAAGGGAGGATTAAGACAATAAGGAGGAGGAGGAGGACGAGGAGGAGGAGGAGGAGGACGAGGACGATGAGGAGGGAGGATGATCAGGAGGACAATGAGGACGAGAAGGAGGATGATGAGGTCAAGAGTCAAGAGGAGAACGACCGCCGACCACAATGAGGGGAATGACGAGCGAGCCAGCGAGCGCGCGAGTCTGGCAGAGTTGGGGCCTGTTCAGGCCCGCGCGAGGGGACTTCTTCTTCTTCCCCCCCCCCCTCAACCTCGTCTGGTTTCGGAGCGGCCGTTCGGGACGATCCAGGCACCCCGGAACGCCCTCGGCGAGGCGCAGCTGCTGGAACGTATCCCGAGGCGAGAAAATCTGGC